ATCTTACACATTCTGAAAACAAGATGATTATTCTTACACAATCAGTTCTTGTTTAGTAAATCAGTCTGAAAACAAGATCAAAAAGACTTTTTGGCTGATATAAGAGTTTAAAACTTGGTTAGGTGGACAGTTTTTGCAGCAAAGTAAAAAATTTTTAAATATTTCTTCTCACTTTTATTCACTATTCAAAAATTATTACATTTCTTAAGGATAAGAATATTAAATTGTGCTAAACAAATACAAGGTTAGGGTTAGAAAGACTTTTAAAATAATAAATGACTTACTATGTCATGTATTATTTATAAAGCAGTACTTTTTAAGATTCAACAGACACATTATGTGTGTTATCACAAAGTATCAGTATCGGATCAGTATCGCCAATACCAGCCAAATTTTACTTGGTATCAGTATCGGAAAGAAAACTGTCAGTGTGGAACATCACTAGTGAACGATGAACCTGTTTGTGAGCCTGCAGTTCAGGGTGTGTCCACATGGTGGCAGCAGATGTTTTCAGACTGTTCTGTGTTTCTGTCAACAGAAAGTCAAAGGAACTGTTCAGAACTCCAGAAAACTTGAGAGTGAAGTGGAACAGAAAGTCATCTCCTCCTGCATCGAGGAGCTGAAAAGCTTYCCCCGGCGGTACGGAGCTGCAGCGACGCCTTTATTATATTATAGTAACGAACAAATACATTATGTTTGGTACAAATCAGACAAATTCATCTCTGAATGAGACACAAAACTGAGGTCAGCCTAAAGCAGCCAAACGACAGCTAAARGCTACAAAGGAAAAAGAAAACTCATTTTCAGCATTGTGCTCACAAACATTAAAACACCAGCTAAAATCTGGAGAGAAATAAAAGCTAAAATTACCAAACAGTAGCAAAACTCTAACTACAAACTAAAAGYAATAAAACATGCTAAAAGCTACAGCTACTGAAATGCTAACAGGAAACAAAAGCTTAATGAAGCAAAAACAAAAGATAGAAAACAGAGGACGAGCAGCTAAAACTATAAGCAAAAGTAGAAAAACACCAGATACAAACTAAAGGTGGCAAAATGCTACCTGATCACAACAAATGTTAGCTGAAAGCTAAATGGTTTCTTTAGCTTTTCTATAACCTTTAAAAGTTTAACACTAGCTAAAAGCATCAAAAGGATAGCTAAAAGCAGCTAAACACTAGCTAAAAGCATCAAAAGGATAGCTAAAACTAGCTAAGCACTAGCTAAAAGCATCAAAAGGATAGCTAAAACTAGCTAAACACTATCTAAAAACATCAAAAGGATAGGTAAAAGCAGCTAAACACTAGCTAAAAGTATCAAAATGATAGCTAAAAGCAGCTAAACACTAGCTAAAAGCATCAAAAGGATAACTAAAAGCAGCTAAACACTAGCTAAAAGCATCAAAGGATAGCTAAAAGCAGCTAAATATGACAAAAACAGATCCAACAGCTGAAGTAAATTTCAAAAACTGTAGAGATTTTATTGTGTTTCTGTGGGGAACATGTTTGTAAATAAAGTTAAATAGTTTGAAAAAGTATAAAAGTTATTAAACAAAAACAATAAAAGCTAAATGTAATAAAGGAAACAGGCTAACTGAAGACAAAATCAGAGCTGAAGCAGTTTTTAAAGAGATAAATTATCTGTGAACAAAGTTGAATATCTAGAAAAGTATAATGCTGACTCAGCGTTCAAGAAAAATAAAAAATTCAGACTTTATAAATAATCTAGTTTGAGCTTTCAGCTGTTGTGTCATTTTCTCCTGCTGTAATCTGAGGTTAAAGGCTCATGAAGGTTCCTCTTCTGTAGATTTTATTCTGCTGAAACTTCCTCATCGGCTCGATGATGTAAGACACGTGTTCTTCTACTTTAGCTTAGCTACTGATTTTAGCTGTTAGCTTTGAWTGGTCTGGTTTTGCCTTTTAGCTTCAGATCCTCTAGATGTTGTTTCATCTGCTGCTTTTGTTCATTTTAGCTTCTATTTATTGTTTTGTTGGTTTTGGAGTCAGGTATTGTTCTGTTGATTTACATTTTAGCTGCTGTTCTGCTAATTTAAGCCTCTAACTTCTACTTTTCTATATTTAGCTTTAGGCCGTTTTTTTGTATTTTTAGCTATTGTTCTGTTAATTATAGCTTTGGTCAGTGCTTTATTCCTTTAGCTTGTTTTGCTCAATTTAGTCTGAAAGGATATGGTAGTTTTAGCATTTAGCTATTGTTTTGCTGGTGCACCTTAATAGCTACTGTTTTGCTAATTWTAGCTTTTGAGCTTCAGTTTTGCTAATTTTAGCTTTTRAGCTTGTTTTGCTAGTTTACCTTTAAGCAACCGTTTTACTAATTTCAGCTGTTAGCCTAGCTACAGTTGTACTGGTTTAAGATTTTAGCTACTGCTCTGATAATTTTAGCTTTGAGCCTGTTATACATATAGCTTTAAGCTGTTTTCTTGTAGTTTTTAGCTTTTGTTYTGTTTATTACAGCWTTAAGAYRCTGATTTTGTTAGTTTAAGGTTTTAGCTACTGTTCTGAATTTTTAACTCTTAGCTTTTCTTTAGCTAATTTTAGCTATTAGCTGCATTTTCCTGTTTTTTCTGTTTTATTTTCATTTTCTTTTAGCTTTTGTTCTGATTGTTTTAGCAGCTCAGTTTTAGCTTCTTTCAGCTCTTCCTGCTGGTTTTCAGCAGAAAATGTCTGATTTTTTTTATAAATTAAAACATTGAAACAAACTGAGCTGAAGGTGAATTAATCTGTTTGATGAAATGATTAAAACTTTATAAATGTTTYTCCTTTGATGTTCCTGTTTGTTCTTTCTTCTGTTGTTCTGACCCGCTCCCTCACATCCTGACCTTTAACTCTCTGGTTTTGGTTCTCCTGCAGGTTTGAGAGCCAGTTCAGGTCTCAGTGCGGGGCCCTGCAGCCTCGGCCTCTCTGGACTCAGTATCAGATCACCTACATCAACAGCTTTGCTGCTCTGCTGTGAGTCACCGCCCACAGAGTCTCATGATGCAAAACTTTACTCGCTGACAAAACAATGAATGAGTCGATTGGAAACAATAAATTAAAACGTCCCRCTGAGGGCAGAGACTGATTTAAAAATAAAACTGAGTGTTTGATTGAAGATTTGTTTGAAAAAACTTGAGATCACATTTAATCTTTATGATTTGTTTAACCTAAAAGATGAAGAGATTCAAATCTGCCTCTAAACACGGTTATTTTACAGGCTCGTGCTTTTATTTTGAAGGCAGCCTAAAACAGTTGTTTCTTTTGTAAAAGGGTTGTTTCCAGGTTGTGTTAATACAGATTAATAATCTCACAGTCTGGTGGAGATCTTTAGCTTGTTGACTCCCGTCTGRGTGGACTTTCCCAGAACCAGTCTCCCTCCTGAGGGACGGAGCTGAGTCACCTCTTAGATAAAACGTTGGACAGAAGACCGTCCCATGAAGCTTTGAGCAGAGAAGCAGGTCTGAGCGTGCCACGCTGGTGCTGGCAGTGCAGGAAGTGTCACGTGTTTTACAGAAAACAGAGAAGTAACAGAGAAACCGTGGTGAAAGTGAAAGCTTCCAGAGCTGTAGCTGTTTTTAAACACACGCACGGTTTGGAGTTTATTTTTAACACAGAGTCGGGCGGTTCTGCTGCACAGATCCTGTCTGTTCTTGTTTACTCGTTCATTTCAGTCACTTAATTCTGCTGCAGAAAAATACAAACACAAGTTCACCAGCCGAAGGTCTGACTGCGCAAGATTAACTGCAAATATTACTCTGTCTAAAATGTAGCCGAAGAAGCTGAAACTGGAGCCGTTAATGAAGCAGAAATCTAATTAAAAGCAAAAAGAAGCAAAACACATGTAGCTAAAAGCTAAAAGTATCAGAAGGCTGATTAAAAGCTAACGTTACAGAATGGCAGCAAAGTCTGCGTGTGCTTTAATAAGCTTATTTTATTCTTTTTATTTCAGTTTCTGTTTTATTTTTGTAGTTTGCTGGTTGAATATACCAAGCAAAACACAAACTAAAAAAACTAAACAAAACACAAAATAAAAAAACTAAACAAAACACAAACTAAAAAACTAAACAAAACACAAGTTAAATCTAAAATTCTAAACAAAATACAGGCTAAAAACTAAACACAAGATAAAAACTAAAAACACTAGCTAAATCTAAAAGTCTGAACAAAACTAGCTAAAAGGTAAAACAAAAGTCAAAATTTAAAAACACTAACTAAACCAAGAAATTAATAGCTAAAAGCTAAACATAGTAAATGGCTGCAAAGTCTCTGTGTGCTTTATTAATTTGTCTTATTGTCCTTTTATTTTAGTTTGTGTTTTTATTTTTTATTCTGTTGCATCAGTTGACGGAAACCAGCAAAACACTTTTTTAAATGCTAGCTAAAACTAGCAGCTGTTAGCTAAAAGCTAAAAAGAACAAAACACTAGCTCAAAAATCAAAAGTAACGAAGTCTAGCTGTTGTATTTAATTAGAATTTTTAACCGTTCTGGTCAAACATTATTTACATTCTCACTCTCTCGTGTACGATTCACAGATCTGTAAAATAAATGTGCATAAATCTTAATGCATGGATGTATAAAATCTGGTAAAAGACTCTTTAGGTGTTTAGTTTTCAGAAATTTGTTCTGTTGAAGTTTTTTGTTAAAAATTAAATCTGAGTAACTAAAGTCTGTTTATTCTTCAACTTCCTGCATCCTGCAGGGACCACATGGACGGGTACCAGGACAGCTGTCCTAACGAGGTGGAGGGATTCAGGCGCGAGGTGAAGTGGCTAATTGTTCGGCTGATGCAGAGTCTGGAGGATCAGTTCAAAGAGGACATTAAGGTATTACAGAGTCTCAGAAGGGAAAAACCCAGTTCTGGTTTTTGTTTTATTATTTCCTCAAAATACTTTTTTTTCTTTAAAGGAACTGAAAAAGAGATTGAAACTTTGGTCTGTAATATTTAAATTTCTAAAAAATCATTTTCTGATATGTGCTCACAAAGGTTAATAACCTTTAAAAAAACAGCTAAAGTCTGGATAGAAATAAAAACCAAACTTACCAAACAGTAAGCAAAAGACAAGCTAAAAGCACTAAAACACTAACTACACACTAAATAATAGTAAAACAGTGTTTTGTAGGCTAAAAAAAGTCAAATTATTTGTAATTTCTTTGCTGATTCTCAGGTGTATCTGAGGAGGATGATGACGAGGAAGTGGCTCACCAACGATGAAGACTTTAATCACCTTCGCAGCCGAACACAGAAGCTGTCCCAGGACTGCGACCTGATGAGGCCTCCACAGGCTCAGGTGAGGAAGAGGAGCAGGAAACAGCCTGGAAACATGACCCCCATGAGAGTCCTGCTGGAAAACCAGGGGTTCTCAAACCTTTTGGGTCTGGGGTCCCCTTACAAGCCCCCCTCATAAACCCCATGCTGTTTTAAAAGATTATTTATTGTCATTTCAACCCCTAAATGCCATGGGAATATATATTTATATATTTATTTAGATCATTATGTTTTATTAGTTCATTTTTCTAAACATTTTTAAAAATAAAAACCTAATTAATAATTTGTAAATATTTTTGAGGATCCCCAAAATACTGCAGACCCTTTGAGAACCTGTACTCTAACTACCCCCTGACCCATAAACAACAGTTGTGTTAGCAAAATATTTCATGATTCACAGGATGGAACTTAGTGGCACTTTCATGGATTTACAGCTAATTAACCATAGCCAACACAAAAAAATGTAAATAACTGAGAATTTCACTGCTTTTGAACTAAAATGTGGTGTGGCATTAGCTCATGCTAACAGATGCATTATTTACACACAAACTAAGTTAGTTTGGACCGAGCCAAACCGGGTCAGGTTTTAACTCAGCAGGTTGTCAGTATGACCCAACATAGTCAGGTTTTCTACCTAAAACTCAGGTTAACACCTCTAAACCCGAGCTAAAAGACGGTTAGCTAACAGGTACTGTTAGCATCAGCTAGTTAGCACAGGCGCTAACCATCGTTAGCATCAGCTAATTAGCACTAACTAATGTTATTTTAGGAACCCAAACTAGCAATTTATTAAGAAAACTAATCTTCTGTATCTGTTAGATGTTTTTACAGCCTTACCTTCATTTATTACGTCTGTTAGCAGAGGTTCAGTCAACTGGTGCCTCAAACAGGAACACTGACTGGAGCAGGTTCTTTATGGTCTGGATAACATTTAATGAATCTGTTTTAACTACAAGTTATAGCATTTAAAAATAACTAAACATGTCTCAAAAAACTAAAAGATCCAAAAAAATATTCTGTCAGTTTAGCTTTTTTCAGATTTTAGCTAGCCTTTTGCTACTTATAGCAAACATCTTCCCCTTTAAATTAGCATTTTAATTGTTTTAGCTCATGTTTTACTACTAATATCTAACTACTATAGCTTTTGGTTACTGTTCTGCTCCTTTTAGCTAGCCTTTTGCTTCTTTTAGCTCATGTTTTACTGCTAATATCTAACTACTGTAGCGTTTGGTTACTGTTTTGTCATTTTTAGCTATCACTTTGCTCCTTTTATCTAACCTTGTCTGCATCTTTTAGCCAGTATTTTACTATGTTTAGCTTCTAGCTACATTTTTGCTCCTTTTAACTAGTGGTTTTTTCTTTTATCTAGCCTTTTGCTACTTTTAACTACCGTTTCGCTACTTTTAGCTAGTGCTCTGCTTCTATTAGCTTTAACAACTTAGTTTCAGCTTTTTCAGAAGATTTCAGCAGAGTCAGACAAAAAGCAGCTAAAACAAACTTTTTTGCAGCTTCATTTAACCAAATTATATTTCTGTTTCCTGCAGAACAAAGTCTGATTTTTCAGCTCTGATTAAACAAAATCAGTTTCACCTGTTTTCTTTACTGTTTTATCAAATTAAGGAGGAAATGAGTTTGAAGTTATATTTATGTTTAACAGAATAAATGTTTGATTTTTCAGAACCAACTGAAACTTCTGTTTTAAAATGTTTTTTGTTAAATTCTGTATTTGTTTTATTTGTGTGGCTGGTAATGGTCAGATTTTCTCAGATTCTGGTTAAATGAGCTCTTAGATAAATGAACTTCAGGTAATTTCCCTGGTCTCTGTTGAAGGAAGTCCTCATTACAGATTTATTGACTCCTGGAAGTTCTGCTGATTCAGACCGTATCAGTGGAAATCTAATGAATAGGTGGAAGTGGAGGTGTGAGCCGATGTCCCCGTCTCCGTCTCTTCCAGGACTTTGCGAGCCAGCTGCATCACCACGTGGCGAAGGAGTACATCGGCCATCTGATGAGGAGCAACTACTCCTGCAGGAACCGGAAACACGAGAAGGCCGCCGCCAAGATCCGCCGCCAGTGGAGCGAGCTGAGCGACCTGTTTGAGGAGATGGTAAAGTGTTTCCTCCTCCCGTTGAACGTTTGGTTTCACGGCCACAGATTTGTTAAATTATGTGTTTTATGTAGATATCAAAAAGAAAAAAAATAGTATAGGTCTTCTGGACGGGTTCTTCTCTAATGAAACGTTTCGTCTCTCCTCCAAGAGACTCTTGGATACAATTGTTTTACAAAAAATAAACCCTACAACCAGTAAAATCTGATGTCACTCCATGTTTGTTTACATTTTGTGAAGAAGA